GGAAAATTCTATCTTCATTGCATAGTATAAAAGACGTTGTCGCTGTCTGTCCGTACTCCGTACCTATGTATGCTTAAATCTTTAAGACTACGCAACGGATTTTGAAGCGGTTCCTTTTAATAGATAGAGTGATTCAAAAATATTGTATCTTCTTCATTACATAAAATAAAGTCGCTGTCGTTGTCTGTCCGTACGTATGTGTGCTTAAATCTTTGAGACTACGCAACGGATTTTGAAGCGGTTTGGACACCTGAAACACCAGGGGTGTCACGTGTGCGTTGCTGACCTTTAAAAACCTTAATATACCCTTTTGAAAACCCTCATGCTATAGTCTCGTGCGAAAACGTCGGCAGGAAGTTCTAACAAGACAATCTAAGTGTACTCTTCTTAAACCACTCTGTTCGAGACCACTTAGGTTTTGTGTGTGGGAATGAATTCCCTGTCGATGGCGAGCGGTGTGATGGTAAAATGTAGCCATAGGTGGACTTATCTCTGGAAGATATGTCTTCCAGTAAATCCAGAACAGTGGCACACAAGTATTTATATACTCTTTCTGCGGATAAATGAATCATTTTTGATGATAATAAAGGTAAACAAAATTCAAATATTATTATTATTATTATATATTTTTTTTTATCTCAGGACAATTCACACTAGGCCCAAGTTAAAGCTAAAGCTTGTGTTATGGGTACTAGATTACTGATACAAATACATAGATATTTTTTTTTTTCGTAAATACATACATATTATACATAGAAAACACCCGGACCGATACAAACAATCATATTCATGATGTTTGTGCCGTGCGAGGAATCGAACCCGCGACCATGGAACGTAAAGCGGCGTGCTTGACCGCTAGACCACCGAGGTCATCATCGACTACATCGACTACAAATACAAACAAATATCTATTTATCAGCGATAACAAATTTCGATTCCTACCATACCCGTCTGAACTTCAACCGAAACTCTTCCATGGTTGTATACAATAACCGAAAACAGTCGACAACGAAAGTTAACAGTTATCTAAACATTCCCATATAAGAATGTTAATAGTTCTGCCCCCATAAAGCATGGGGGACTTGGCACGCGAGGTGTGCACGCCACTCGCATTCTGCAACGTTTGCTCGTACAGCATAGAAAGTTCATTGTATCGGAACGGTTTCATAGGAATCCTGCAAGTAATTACAATGTTATTAGCGTGTAAGTACTAAGTAGTACACGAGAGGGGGGGGGGGAGTTAGGGGGAGAGGGGGAGAGTTGGAGGGAGGATATAATACCCTCAATACAATTTACACAGCGTCACCAAGTGCTAAGGTAAGCAAAGCAGGTGTTATTGGTACTAGAGTACTGAAATATTACTTAGATTTTTAGTCTAGCACACCGCCTTACTTCCGATGGACGCAGGTTCAATTCCTCGGACGGCCCAAACTTTTGTATTCATAAGTATGATTATTTGTATCGGTCCGGGTGTTTGCTATGTATAATATGTATGTATTTACGACAAAAATATATCTATGTATTCGTATCAGTTATCTAGTACCCAAAACACAAGCTTTAGCTAGCTTAACTTGGGTCTAAATGGCACTGTGTGGATTGCCCTGAGATGATTATTATTCTTTATGTATATATTTTCTATATCTCCCTTTGATGGGGTTATAGACGTCATTGCGTGTGAAAATCATCAAGCAATGACAACCATAAAAAATGGTGATGATGATAATGATGGCGCACATGTTAATTTCAGTTAATAATAATATTATCAACTGAAATTAACATGTGCGCATTATTTCTATGCATACATAATATACATAGAAATAATAAGTACTAGGCATCTGATAGATATAAATAATTTTTTTGTAATATAAATATAATATACATAGAAAACACCTAGAGCGTTACAAACAATACTCATGAGAACAAAATGTTTTTGTCATGTTAGGAATCAAACCCGCGACCATAAGGTATGTATTTACAATATGTATGTATTTACGAAAAAAAATACATATTTCTATGTATTTGTATCAGTTGTCTAGTACCCATAACACAAGCTTTAGCTAGCTTAACTTGGGTCTAGATGGCGCTGTGTGAATTGTCCTGAGATTATTATTATTATTATATTTTTTCTAATAACTAGTTTAATTTAATATTACTAGTGATCACGTAATACTTTCACTGTATATCCTACCTTTCGGAATGTCACCTACAATAGGGTTGTCAAAACCAGCACGTCACGTATGATTTAGTTAAACTAGAATAATATTACAAAGCATCTAATTGGAAATAAGTAATTAAAATTAGTGAGTATGATATCGCAAAAGTTGAAAATATTTTTGCAGTTGTTTGTTATATGTCTAAGTACTAATCTACTAAAGTATTAGAGAATATATATATTATAAATGATAATGGAATAGTGCATCTGTCTGTGCTAACAGTTTACCAGGGTACCAGTGAACTATGTAAAAATAAAGTGACAGCATCGTGATAAATTCACAAGGAATTTATCACAATTGTATCCAGGGGAGGCCGCGTGGAGGTCAACCTCACATGATACAGTGCAAGCAATGGGGTCATTAGTCCACATTACTAACAATCCCCTATTTTCGTATATATAATATATATTTAAAATCAAATTCATGTAGGTCTATTACAGACTCTTATGATATGTCAAATCTACCGTTAGTTCGGAATGATTTGGAGATGAGAAGAACTGACAAGAAACTCAGCTCGTATTCTTTTCAAATAAATGTTGTACATGTTTACAATAATACAGATTCAGTTAAGTCCAAATTTGGGGGAGCAGACTACCAGTATATGCTATTGTAAAAGCAAATAGTCTAATCAGTGTTCGTAACCCGAACAGACCAGTCCCCACAAGCAACAGTCATTCACGAGTATGACGGATGAGCCAGCCATCATTGCACTCAACTATTTTGACCCGGCCCACCACGCCGCCACAAGTTTGAACTGTATAGCGAGCATTACTGTTTCAAGTTACTCCAATACATCATTTATATTATTTACAGCATAAACTGTACCAATCACAATTTTCACTCATTACAATATTTAATTTAGATTATTTAAATTATAACATGTCTTTTTTAAATCTATACATATAAATAAAATTGGAGTGTCTGTTTGTAATATTGAAATAACCGTTTTTTACTACATACATATGAATATAAATACGGGACATATACAAAAATAACATTTTTTACAATTTTTTTCTGTCTCTCAGTTTGTTCCGGCTAATCTCTGAAATGGCTGGACCGATTTTGATGGGACTTTTTTTGGCAGGTAGCTGATGTAATAAGGAGTGACTTAGGCTAATTTTATTTCAGAAAAATTTTCTAATTAACTTTTTTGTTAATATCCACGAGGACGAAATCGCGAGTACAGTTGGTTGATAATAAGTTTGTTTTCGTTGTCAACCCTATCTGCAATACAGGGAGAATTTTCAATTTTAAGAGTTGTCGATGGCATTAAAATAAAATACGGCACGACGTGGTGCCCCCTCACGTAAACTCCATCCATCACTCGTCTGTTCACCCCCTTACTTCAGCACTGTCGACTGCCTCGACGAAAAGTCAGACTATACTGCAGTGCATTTTTGATATTATTACTCGCGAATATGATGAATGATCCGATGAGTTCAATATCAGTCTATAGACGTCTTTATATTAGAATACTAGATGTCCCGGAAAACGATTGCCCTAAAATTAAAAAAAAAAATTAGGGGTGGACTACCCGTAATATAGAGGGATGAAAAATAGATGTTGGCCGATTCTAAGACCTACTCAATACGCTCACAAAATTTCATGAGAATCGGTCAAGCCGTTTCGGAGGAGTATGGGAACAAAACTGTGACACGAGAATTTTATATATAAGATGTTACTACGACTGTACGACGTAATCATTGTTGTTTTTTGTTAATCAATGTTTGTGCCGTGCGAGGAATCGAACCCGCGACCATCGGTCGTAAAGCGGTGTGCTTGACCGCCAGACCATCGAGGTCGTCGAATTGAGCAGATCTAAAAAACTATTATTCTTACTTAATTTTCAGAGCAAGCTGTAATATTTGCAACATAACAAAAATATCATTGCATAACAATACATTGGGGTAACGTCGAGAAATAATACCCAACGTGCAACCAACCTATACATCTCTACACGAAGCACGCGAGACGAATTTTTGAAAAATGTAAAAGGGCCTTTGCTTCGGGGACGTCACGTAAAACTCATCCATCCTGCTTCGACTGCTTCGGGCAGTTTTGGGCACGACGTTGACTTTAAAATAAATGTATTTCTGCTCTTTTTTCAATTACAAAAGCCTTTTGTAACGTTACGTGCTATTTTTTACTTGCGCCTTACTTATAATGGTCGCGGGTTCGAGTCCTTGTACGGCACAAATTTGTATTCATGAGTATGATTGTTTGTATTGGTCTGGCTGTTTTCTATGTATACTATGTATTACTTTACAAAAAAAAAATGTATATAAGTATTTGTATCAATTGTTTAGTATTTAAAACGCAAACTCAGTTTAGCTTGGGACTAGATGGCGCTGTGTGAATTGTTCAGGGTTATCAATATTATTAAAAGAATTAATAAAACAGTACCTCTGTTTTAAGGCAAAGGCAATTCTAAGGCTATTCAAAAGGCTAAGGCATTTATTTTATAAATGTTATTTATTAAAAAATCCACACAGAGCCAACTTCAGCTAGCCAAGTCCAAGTTAAGCTAGCTAAAGCTTGTGTTATGGACACCAGATAACTGATACAAATACATAGATTCATTTTCGTAAATACATGTTATACATATAAAACACCCAGACAAACAATCATACTCATGAACATAAATGTTTGTGTTCGAGGAATCGAACCCGCGACCATCGGAAGTAAAGCGGTATGTTAAACCGCTGGACCACCGAGGTCGTCAAAACTTTGAATCCAACGAAGTCGAATAGTGAAAAATGATTGTTAATTATGGTAATTTGTCAGCAGAACATCAACGAAATGCAGCGGAGGGTCACCCCACCGCGAGAGGCGACGCCGAGAAGATGATGCATCAAGCGGCTTCAGCTCAGCGATACACAAGGCACCGCCACTTCCACCACCAGCTTTACTGCGGAGATTGGGTGTGAAGGAACCCACTGGAGTTGGGAAGGTAAGTCCACTTTTACCTTTCGTTTTGACCTTATGAATTTCTAATTCAATTGTATTGCACTACATAATTATGACCTATATATATACCTCTGCATTGTAAATAAACTGGATTTAAAAAAAAAGTAATTCAATTGAGTTTCTTGCCAGTTCTTCTCAATTGGATCTATATACTGAACTGGACGGTAGGGAAAAAAAAATATAATGTAAAAACTTGACGTTCATAAGCGGCTAAAATGTCCTACATGAATAAATGATTTTTGAATTTGAATTTGATGATGATTGATATTATTTTGTTTAATTCCGCTATAATTAGCATGAGAGATATGAAGTTTATGTACATAAGCTTGGAAGCCTAGCCTTGAACGCAGGTTTAAACACGGCGTCCAAGCTATATCGGAACTCTATTCAACGCCTGATCATGCCTCGTTCAGAATAGAATAGAATAAAATAGAAAATCATTTATTCAAATAAACTTACATTGACGCACTTTTGAATAGTCATAACAATTTTATTTTTAATCTACCGCTCATTCGGAATGCTGTCTCATCACAAGAAGAACGAGCAAGAAACTTGTGTGTTGCTCTTTTAAATAATTTATTCTTAGTTACAATTTAAGTTTAAGTGTGTGAATACAAACCACCGATTAGCACTAATTCAATGAAATAATAATAGGCGGAAGGCGAAACATGTGTCGCAATATGGGTGTAGACTTAAAAACGGTCGGAATTTGATCACCATTAGAAGGTCGTAACGGTAGTCAAGTTTCCACACCGAATATTTGGGGTCTCACACGTGCTAATTGCAGCGGAATTAAACAAAATAATCTAATCCATCGAGTAGTGAAATGGACTTCCGGAAAATAATTCTATTAAATATCAATTGTATCGAATCATTGTATGAAGTAAGTAATTTCCAAATTTGAATTTAACTGAATCTTTATTATTGTAAACATGTACAACATTTATTTGAAAAGAATACGAGCTGAGTTTCTCATCAGTTCTCATCTCGAAATCATTCCGAACTGACGGTAGATTTGACATATCATAAGAGTCTGTAATAGATCTACATGAAGTCAAATTTAAAATGTAAAGATATTGTAAATTTGACTTTGAATTGAAGGAAGTAACGAAGAGTAGTATACTGGTGGACCACAGATACAGTCAAATCATCTGTGATAGATAAGAGATAATGATATAGAAAGAGACATATTATATTTTCCGATATGCTACATAATCATATAACGATAGTATTTTTATCAAAAATATATCAGCACCACTATAAAACCGCCCAGGGTAATATCAAAACGTCTCGTACTGCATCTTCATTAGTTAATAATAACCCTTGATACTGGACAATTCAGACAGTGCTATCTAGTCCCTAGCATAGCAGAGCATATATTATGGGTATTAGACAACTTATTTAGTACTTACATATTTTATTTTGTAAATATATACATAATGTAAATATAGATTTTGTAGATATAGAACACCCACACTGATAGAAACAATCATGCTCATGAATAAAAATTTTCGTACAGTGCGAGGAATAGAACTCGCGACCATCTGCAACTTCATTATTTAATAATAACCCTGCACACTGGACAATTCACACAGCGCTAGCACCTAGCATAACAGAGCTTGAATTATGGAGACAACAGATTTGATACTTAAATATTTGTTTTTGTAGATACATAATATATATAGAAAACACCCACACTAATACCACAGATAATATAATATTACATACTAATACAAACAATCATACTCATGAATAATAATATTTGCAACGTGCGAGGAATCGAACTCGCGACCATCAGAAATAAAGCGGTGAGCTAAACCACTGAACCACCGCGGCCGTCTATATTTATAAAATTCGTAATTCAAAATATCTTTATTCATGTAGGTCTAGTACAGACTCTTATGATATGTCAAATCTACCGTTAGTTCGGAATGATTTCATAATCAATTACGGTATCTATATACTTTATTTATTTATTTATTTAATTTCTGGCTGCTATTGGCCCATAAAATATACCTTAAAGACTAACATACATATGAATGATATTAAAATTAATAGAAAAATAAATATATAAGGTGTATATGATCTTGTTACAATAGAATTGAACATAATTTCACATCACTCGCATACTCACTCGCACACTTACGAAATACATTCAAATTCAAATTCAAATTCAAAAATCATTTATTGATGTAGGACATTTTAGCCGCTCATGAACGTCAAATTTTTACATTATAATTTTATTTTTTCCCTACCGTCCAGTTCGGTATATAGATCCAATTGAGAAGAACTGGCAAGAAACTCAATTGAATTACTTTTTTTTTTTAAAGCCAGTTTATTTACAATGTATTTTTATATAGGTGTCTATGTCTAACATTAAATGAAAATTCAGTGCATGAACAACTATTGCCATGCACACTCGTCATTCAAGTATATTAAGTATATTAGTAAATTGACAAGAAAACTTAAGCTTTAAAATAGCAAAGATTCTTTCAAGTGAGTAAAGCCGGAAAGTCAAGTTAATGAGGGTCCGATAACGATCAGGTAGCCGGTTGGGTCTGTACGAGCTCATTACTGATCATCAGCTGTCTCATTAGATTCTACCAATTAGCGACACGGTAAAACTCTGCCCACATTATACAGGAACATAATGGAATAAGTTAAGAAAGACTTTCATATGTATGGTATATATCCTAAATTTGAATTAAAAATGAATCTGTATTATTGTAAACATGTACATTTATTTGAAAAGAATACGAGCTGAGTTTCTTGTCAGTTCTGCTCATGTCGAAATCATCACGGCTGGAAGGAAATCAGTCATAGTGATTACACTATGACTGATTTCCTCTTATTAATTGTTTAACCAATTGATAGATAAGTTCTTTATTCAACAATTACAAACACATAGCATACATGAGACACATTTTATAAATAGAAATAAAGTATACAAATTAAATAATACAGAAATATAATTTTCAAAATAAAATAAAAATGGAGGTGGCTTTATGTGTCGCAATGATGAAGAGGCAACCAACTCAGCATGAAGCTACAGATAAGTCTGCAGCGCTGATATTCTGTTGGCTCCTATAATTAAATACATACTTACATACATATATACGTGAATGTTTATATATTACACATCGAGCTCTTAAACAATTATACAATTACAAAACATTATACAATATATAAATAGATTAAAAATGATGTGATGTGTTATGTTATACATATATTGTTAACCTATACATACTACGTACATAAATAATAGGTGTTGTTAGCATATATAAGATCGCTGGCTAAACGCGCCGTGAGTCAGACATTATTGTTCCTGTCCAAGCTTACCGACTTCGGTCGTTGAAAAAGATTCCTCAGATAAAGGACCTCCTATTTAAAGTCAGTTGTTCAGATAGTGTTCAGACAATTGGTTGTATACTTAATATTTTTTCTATTTGAATATTTAATTGAATTAGTGCTAATTGGTAGTTTGTATTCACACACTTAAACTTAAAAATGTAAAGTAATAATAAACTTATTTAAAAGAGCAACACGCAAGTTTCTTGCTCGTTATTCTTGTGATGAGACAGCTTACCGAATGAGCGGTAGATTAAAAAAAATATGATGACTATTCAAAAGAGCTTCAATTTAAGTTTGTTTGAATAAATGATTTTCTATTCTATTCTATTCATTCCGAACTGACGGTAGATTTGACATATCATGAGAGTCTGTAATAGACCTATGAATAAAGATATTTGAATTTGAATTTGTGAATTTGCTGGACGATATCCGAGAGCAGTTAGCTGGTGATTTAATTTGTTATTAATCGAGTTGCGGAGAGTCCGACCTGCAAATATAGCATCTAAGTTGGAACTAACTAATCCGTACAGAATATAAACTTCAGAGCCCAAATTCTAATGACTATCAAATCCTAATCTTAATCCAAATCAAATCATAATATCACTACTTAATGGATTTATATTATACTAGCTTTTGCCCGCGGCTTCGCTCGCGTTAATTTATCCCCTTTTTTTTTTTTTTTTAGGTTTTAGATATTTATTCTCATTAAGAATTACAAATAATTCACTTAACATGAGAACTAAAAGCATAAACTTATACAAAATTAAATATTAGTGGAAATACAAAAGAAGGTGTACATATATAATGCGGACGGTGCAGTAACAAAGTCTACGCAGTAACTACCTGCATAAATGATAACATTTATTGGTTGCTTACCGCGCATAGATGGCCTCAGCGGTACTGGGTTCACATGTACACAGATGTATCCCCCCCCTTAGAGGTGGAATTTATCAAAATCCTTTCTTAGGAGATGCCTACGTCATAGTAGCTTTATGTATGCAAAGTCTCAGCCCGATCAGTTTAAAATTGACAAAGTTTCATATAAACTGTCATCCCCTATTTTATCCCTTTGGGGGTAGAATTAATCAAAATACTTTCTTAGCGGATGCCTACGTCATAACATTTACCTGCATGCCAAATTTCAGCCCGATCCGTCCAGTGTGCTGGACTGTGCGTTGATAGATCACTATGTCAGTCACCTTTGAGTTATATATATTTAGATTGTTTAATTTCGCTACAATTAACATGTGATACCACAAATATTCAGTGCGGAAACCTTACTTGAACATTTTTGAGTTCACACATGTAAATTATAACTGAATTAAACAAAATAATAGTGAAATGGACGACCGAAAAGTAACACCCAATTCGATAAAATAAATCATAATATATTTAAACACGTACATAACAATAAAATTATATCCGTCCTATATAAATTTTGCTTTTACAATATCACTATGATTTATTTAATAATAATAATTCGAGGACAATACACACAGCGCCATCTAGACCCAGGTGAAGCTACCTAAAGCTACACAAGCTTTATGGGTACTAGATGACTTATACAAATACATATATTTTTTATGTAAATATATATATATATTATACATAGAATACACCCAAAGTGATATA